ATCAATTGATCAAAAACCCAGTTCTAATTCAGACTTCTTCCCCTAAAGCATGCTTTCTTCAATATACTTTGTAGATTAGAGGGCATTCCTTAAGCCAGTAGTCCCATAAGCCTGATGTACCTAAGGACCATATGGAAACCTTTAACTATATGGGTACTAACCAAAGATTCTGATCGTAGAGTTGAGGTGGGACCAGAGTCTGTATATTTAACAAGTACCACCTATCAGAGAAAACATCTAATTTCCAAATATGTAATTAATCCAATTCACAATGATTCTAATATCTATTACTGGCTAACCCTGAGAAAAGTGAAATTATAAATTACAAAAATAAAAAGACTCAGACACCCAATACATTGTCATTGATTGCATGAATCCATTAATCAATAGTATAAAATTAAGGCCAAACTGGTTCAATGATAGTTAGCTTAATATACAAAGGGGAAAGTCTTGGAGTCTCTTTTCTGGCTCACTTTCTCAGGGGGAGAAGAGCATATTATACTGAGCGAAACATAACATGAGCACTTCTTTCAGCCATTCCTTTGTCTTTCAGGGCTTGGTGGGCATCCAGATGAGCTCTCCTTCCTCAAAAAGATAGGAACCAACAAAATTTCTTCTAAAAAGGAATCAAAGGCTGTGAAGCTGTGCATAGGTAGGGAAGAAGGCACAGAATTCAGTGGTAAGATGAGCAAAGAGTTCAGGGAAAGAAGAAACACTCCTTCCCTAAGGCATTAGATTTGTTCCTAGGCAACAAATAAGATATGATTACTTATAGTCAGCCCAAAATGCAGCTCCCAGAAGAAAACCGCTTGCTTAAAATGCCTTTCAAAAGTCTAACCTCTAGACGATTACAGTGCCCAATTCATCCTAGAATTTATATCTTAAAAACTTCACACATACATATTCTACAGTGTTTTAAGTACACATATACTTTGATAATTCTATATAGAAATCAGTACTAAAAACTATTAGTCTTACAAAGTTGTAAGCTCATGTAACTTTCATTGTCAAAAAAGCATATATGCGTAATGGCTAGAATCCAAAACACTGACAATAACAAGCACTGGTGAGGATATGGAACAACAGGAACTCTCATTCATTGCTGGTAAGTATGCAAATTGGTACAGCCACTTTAGAAGGCAGGTTACAGTTTCTTAAAAAAACTCCATGTACTCTTAACAAATGATCCAGCAACTTCCCTCCTAGGTATTTAGTCAAATGAGTTGAAAACTTATGTTCACACAAAAACCTGCACATGAATGCTTATAGCAGCTTTATTCATAATTGCCAAAAATCTGGAAGCAACTAAGATGTTCTTTAATAGGCAAATGAATAAATAAACTGTACCCCAACCATAAAATGAAATATTATTCAGTGGCTAAGAAAAAAAAAGAGCTATCAAGTCACAAAATGACAGGGAGGAACCTTAAATGCACATTGCTAAGTAAAAGAAGTTAGTCTAGAATGTTAGGTACTGCATAATTCAAGCTACATACTATAGGCTTACAATTACATGACATTCTAGAAAAGGCAAAACTACAGAGACAGTAAAAAAATCAGTGGTGGCCAGGAAGAGATGAAAAAGCAGAGTATGAAAGATTTTAAGTCAGTGAAATTCTTCTTTATGAGGCTATGGTAGATACCTGATATTATGCATTTTTCAAAACCCATAGGGCTGTATGATACAAATACTGAACCCTAATAGAAACTGTTAGGGTTACAATAATGTAGTTAATAATAATGTATCAATATTAGTTCATCAATTAGAACAAATATACCATATTAACACAAGAAGTTCATGATAGGGGAAACTATATAGGGGAAAGGACATACGGGAATTTTCCAGACTGCTCAATTTCCTTGTAAACCTGAAATTATTCTAAAATCTAAAATCTATTAATTAAAAAATATGTAGGTGATATTAGTGCTGCCACTAGAAACATTTTTTTCTAATTTGTAACATATTGACAAAATAGTTGTTTAAATAACTATGTATTCTTTAACTACTTAGCTATATTCCAAATATACTTATTTCACATTCTGTCAAACAAAACTAAGTTAATAATCCCCCTACATATGGAGGTCTGAAGATTTTTTTCAGTTATTTTTTCTAATGGCATGCTATATTATATCAGTACATCTCTCACTTTCATTGATTTGCAGTATAGTTTTGATTTGCAGAAACCATAATAAATATTTTGTCTATAATATATTGTCATGTAACTGAATATAGAAGTCTATATCTTGATCTATGAGATGATGAATTGTAGCTACTGAAAGACTTGTGCAGTACTTCTCAAACTTCAGTATGTATGGGAGTCCACTGGGGATGATCTTGAAATAGATTCTGATGAAGTTGATTTGAGGTGGTGCCTGCTAATCTACACTTCTAGCAAACTGCTGGGCAGTGCTAATGTATAACCACACTTTGAACAGCAAGAGCATATCTGAACCATAAAACTATGACCTCTGTGTAAAATAAACCCAAATGCCTAGCAGTTCATACAAGGTATTAAAGAACTGATTTTTTGTTTCTCCTACCTTAAAATTCAGGGCTCTGAGAACTTCTAAATATGCCTTTCCAACATATAATACTTTTCCATCTCATCTGCAAAGAGGAAGGCTTGAGAACCTTTGTACAGTGAGCAAGCTACCTATTTAGTCATAATTCTCTCCCTGCTTGTATGAACTGCAGATCATCTATTTCTAGTTCAATTCCTCAATTTATATGTCTTCAATCACAGAAAGGTCAATTGACTGGCTCAAGGTCACTTATCTAATAACTATAAAGGTCAGGTCTCAAATCCAGGTCTCTGATTCCAGATCCACTCCTTCTCCCTCCATTATCTTTAGCTTCTAATAATGATGAACTTCAGAGAATATGTACGAGTCTGTTTAAACCACAAAAATCCCAGTTCTGAAAGGAATCTCTCAGCCTCAGGCTTCCTATTGCAATTCCTAACATGGATTTAAGGTCTGGTGGTGTGCAGTAAGGGGGAGGATTATTTTGTGCTTCAAAATTAGCCTTGAAGTTCAACATGATTATATGAACTTTCAGAGTATGGTATAAGGCATGAGAGAAAAGACTCGGGTGTTTCACTGTGGAAAATGGGACAGGAATGATTTGTTTGTTTCTCCAAACATGATTTTCTCTTGAAAGAATTCACAGCCAACCATGTGTGGGAGGCAGAGGCAGGTGGGAAGTTCTGTCCAGAGCAACCTCACTTATACTGGAACAATCAATGAAGAGTTGATCTCTTCCATGGGAGTTATAGACTATTAAAAATAACTGAAACTAAAATTTCTTCACAGTATGAAAAACCAAGACCCAGAGATGTGAAAAGAATTTTGTGCTATTGTACAGATACTCTTAGAACTTAGATTTGGAGTTTCTAAACCTCTGGTTTAAGGGCCAGGCCCAATTTCACACTGGCCTCAGCAGTAGGTTAGGGTGGAAGGGTTAATAAATATAAGATATTTAAGTAACATTAGAGTCTATGCATGCCTTCCAAACACTGTTCTAAGTGTTTCTTACAGTAAGAATCTGCCTTTGTATACTCTTGCCCTCTAGATTCCTGCAGCACAGAAAGAGAAAGGGTGATTCCTGCCTCACCACTGCACAACATCCCAGTATGAAAATTCTCTTCCCATTTCAAGGAGGGATCACTCCATAAGTGTGTGTGCTGTATGTAAGCAGCTCTGAATTGAGGTGCTCAAGTGGGTGGCCAGACTGTCTCTCTCTCTGGGCCACTGCTCTGACACCTTATCACAAAGTTGTTTAAATAAGTATGATTAGTAATATTTTCTTCATAGGATTAAATGAATGTCAGGGCAACCAAGATCCTGGCCCCTATCTCTGTCCTTTAGGGGATGTTTTGAAATGTTCATGGGCAAAGCATGAGCACTGATGCTACATTAAGCGAGAATCAGCCTGGGCAACTCTGGACCCAGTCTGAGAAAAATCAGTACCTTTCAGTTCCTTGTTGGTGATCCGAGCTCTTAGAGACAAATTACAAGCAGTTTAGGTGCCAGTGGGAAGGAGCACAAATGTCCCTATACTATAGCAGATTTCTACAGAAATTCCACGAACTCCTGGACATGGCAAATGTTCAGAAAAGTACAATATGCTCCCAAAGCTTCAGAGCCAGGGTCTGAGAGTCTCTGCATATTTAGCTGGCGGCTGGAAATCAGGCTCTGGCTGACATACCCGGCTTTGCCTTCCTCATCCTAACACCACGGTCTTAACCATCAGTGCTGCACTCGGGGCTTATATATTCATTCCTCACGCTTCCTACCACACGCTGCTCTTCTGTTCCTCTCACCCTGATCAAGATCCTATCCCTCCTGTGAGACTCCACTCACACGTGGCAGCATCTGATGGCTTGTCATCCACTGTGGCCTCCCTAAAGCAGGTAAAGGACCCCACCCTCACATGGTATTCATGTTGAGCCATACTTCTAAGAAATCATCACAAGTGGACATATTTTGTTTAGCATCCCAGGATAAATAGGAATGGGGATGAAAGAGAGAAACTCAGATAACACACTTGTTGAACTTACAAAGATTGTTCACACTAAGAATGCCAACATGTAACTGGCTTACAGACCGGGCAGGCTGGGCGTTTTTCTTTTCTGGGTGTCATCTCTGGACCTAATCAATAGAATAATGTCTGGGAAGCTTGAAGACTTTAGCTTCAGGACAAGGATGAAAGAAAAAGACAAATAGTTTAATATAAGAAGCAACATTTCCAAGTACGGCTGAACAATAATGAGAAGGGGAGACAGAAGACGCACAGCACCCCTGCCAGTGGGAGGACTGAAACAGCCTAGGAGGCCTCGGCAGTGGGGTGGTGCACACACTGGGAGAGGGGCAACACCAGCCAACAGCCAGGGTTCTTTCCTCCTTGAAGAGTCTATCATTCTACTACAAACAAGAATGATAATAACTTGTATACTTTGCAGTCAATAATAATAAAAGCACAATGATTGTGGGTAACTTACTGTGCTGGCAGTGGATCCCATTAAATCCTCGGGGACATTTACAAACATAACCTATGAATGTGTCCCCTCGGTATGCTTCACTTATTTCACAGGTTCCTCCATTATGGCATGGGTTAGGAACGCAGGGACCTGAAAGAGAGAAAGAAAAATATTGTTGCATGATGCATATTGCTTTAAAGTAGACCATGGGTCAATATTTTACAATCAACAATCTTATAGAAAAAAAATGTTCTGGATATTAGTGGTATAAGAAATATAACATTTGTTTGGGTTCTGCAGACCTATGGCCTGAGACTAATTCCAGTTTCACCACATTCTAGCCATTTGATCTGGGAGGATTTATTTAACCTCTCTGTGCCTCAGTCTGACCTTCTGTTAAGTGTCAATACTAATGGAATCTACTTCACAAGGTGATGACACAGATGAAAAAAATTCATACATGTGAAATGCCCAGAATAATGTCTAACACATATTAAGCACTCAAAGTATTAGCACTAAGTAAAATACTGTTAAGATCTCTGAATTATAAAGTGTCTTCTGAATGTTTAAAAAGTAATACTGAATGACAATTTCTGGAGTTACAAACACCAAAGAGCTTTTATACTGCTGGTGAAAGCGACATGAACTTGCACATGATTGTAACTAGACAGGCCAAGTGAAGTGGATCGCTGGTTGCAGTGCTTCAGACTATTTATAGTTTGTGGCGAGGAATACAATTTTTGCCAGTCTATAAGAAGTAATTCATCAAAAGTTGCAAAATTAGAAAAGGGGCTGGTAATCATTTTTAAGCCTTGAGAAAGTAATTTCACTGACTGACTGGTACTTGTGACAGCCAACAGGAGGGTGGTGCTCCATCTCCATTGGAGAGAGGCAGCCGCTAGCACCACGCACGGCGTGTACACTGGTCCAGTCCTGCTGGGTCAGGACTCCTCCAAGGCACATTCTTACACATTCTTTAATCTTTGCAGGCTGAGCTTTCTCAAACAGCAGGACAGTCTAAGGCTTTTTCTGTGCCGTCTTCCTTCTTTTTCTCCTTTCAGAGGTGACAGATTGTGTCACAGTCTGAGGGTTCATTCTACCTACTCTTGCTCCTCTTCCCTTTGTCCATCACAGACATTCCCCTCAATAATCGTTTGCACCTCTAACTCTGTCTTATGGTTGGATTTTTGGAGAAAAGTCACTAAAGAGAAAGTTAAGGCGTACATATTAGAAAAGGAAAGCAGGAATAATGAAACCATCTCACCATGTACAAAGAGGAGAGTGCCAGAGTCCTGGAGGAAGGTTAGTCAAGAAAGGGGGCAAGTGGGATCAGTGAAGACTGGAGACAAGGGCGAGAGGTTTGAGCACCCGGACAGTGAACGCACGAGGCAACTGGCTGGGAGCTCCAGCAGGCAAGGCTAGCGGGAGAGTGCGAGAGCAAGTTGAGGGGCCACTCCAATGTGGGGCAAAGCCATTTAAAGAAACGCTTATGGAGAGAAAAGGAAATTCACCACCATTACTCTGAGCAGTGCGACAGGATGTCCCCAGCAGGAAGCACTTCGAGGTGGGGCAATGTCATCTTGCATTGAGGCAAGACTTTGTGACTCTATTCCTCCCTCCAGCAGCTGTCTTTGCCACTCAGGTTTATCTAGTTTGAAATGTTGTAAGATCCAATGACTATAGACTTTATTCAAGATAGGCATGAAATAGGAAACAAATGTCTGGATCTTTACTTCTTGATAGGGTTGACTTTCAGAAAGTGAAAAGAAACCAGTGTATCCGTGATTTTTCTCCAGATATCTCCATACCAATTAAAAACAATACATTTATTTAAGTAGGCAGTTTTGTACTGTGTAGTACATGTCAAACTAACCAACACCTGCTCTTGAGGTGATATACCACCAGTGTCTGAGACAGGAAGGAGGTTCAACACCAATGATCAGTTCTGTGGCAATTTCGATAAGGTTTCCTCCATCACTTAGAGGTGCAAATCCTGCTGTCTCTTCTCTCAGTTTCTGCTTCTTCCATCCTCTTACATTAATTAATATTGGATGGTGCCTCACAATTTATAAATTCTTTTCATATAAATAATCTCATTTATTCCTCACTAACTCAGGTAGTTTGTATTACCATTATGTTTTACATTTAAAAAAAATGGAAGTTCAGAGAATTTGATCATTTTTCTCAAATGAATATGTTTGACTGATGTAGTTAGGTCTCAAACTAAGAATTTGTGATTCTAAACCCACATTTCTTAGAGAATCAAACACTGGGGCAAGGAGAATGAAATCACAGTAATACTAGAGTTTTGACTCATCAGTTCACTTCAAAATAAGAAAAAAAGATGGCTTTTTATCAACTGATAAGTGATAGCCATGCATATAACTCCTAAAGGTAAAAATGGATATAAATAATTACAGTCAGAGAATTATATAATTTTAAACAAATAAGGAGCCTTAGAGATCATCTAATCCAATCTTTCAATTTTGCAGATGAGGAAACAAGTCTAACAAGAATTCACTAATTTCTCCAAAAAAAAAAAAAAACTAATGTAAGGAAAATTGGGTTTAAAGAATTGTATCTAGAAGGGGAAAAGTTATTAAAGCAAAAATGACAGCTATTCCTGCCCCCTCAAGAGAGTGATGTAATTTATATCAGAGAGAAAATAAATCTTGCCTATGCTTTATTCCACTTACAAAGCTGGGTGAAGGACAGACTTTTTTTTAAAGGCTGAAATAGCATGGCCTCTGCCAGTTCTTGGGAGCAGGTAAAGCCATGATTCTGAGGAAGGTGGTTGAAGGAAGTCACTTTGAAGATCAAGGGACGAATATGAGCCTGGAATAGATGCTTCCATTTCCTCAAGCCACTGCAACTCTTGGCAAGTAGAATATGGCTAGAAGCTGAGGATGAGTTAGTGGCTCTGCATAATAGAGGGAAGATCTTAGGGATGGATGGGGAGAACCCAGGAGAGGAGAACTCAAGAGCAGAGCTGAAAGTAGAGCCCAGGGACAGAGCGGGGTCAAGCTGTATGCGGTGAGGCTGTGATATGTGAGTAGTAGTTAGTGAGAACCTGTGATGTCTAAAATTCAGGTTTAAGTTGTCTGCACAGTCCTGTGTGAACTGTCTCTGCCACAGAATCCAGATCTTCACTCAAGTCTGCTAGACACACAGACCTGTGTGTGGTGTTTGGGGAAATCAAGGGGAAAGGGCTCTGCTGTTCCTCTGGCTCATCCTGGCAGAAGGAAAGTAGTGCTGATGCAGATGACGCCCAAGGGAGTCAAGAACCCAGTGGACACAGGAACCTGAAGACAGAGCTGCCAGAGGTATCTAAAGTCACAGAACTCTAGAAGTTCCTCAGGGCTTCAGCGAAGCTTGTCCAGCAATCTTGGTGCAGCCTCTGGGATTCCTAAAAGACAGGACTTAGAGAACTGGAGCTCATTTTATTTTGAACCTAAAGGACATCATGACCTCAGCAGGCATCTGGATTTCAGAAAAAATTACCTGTTATGGAGGTCATGGTTGCTGTTGTTTTTCCTACTCCAAACAATTCAGTGATTTTCATTTAAAGGGTAAGGATGAGGTATAGCAAATGGGGCAAGGATTTAACCCTTCTAGAATGTCTTGTATGATAAGCAACATGAAATATACATAGCATCCTTTAAAATGCTCTCTAAGAATATATCTTTGTTTTATAACCAAGAAAACAGAGAGGTTAAATAACAAGCCTAACTGGAAAAGGCAAGATTTTAACATACTCTGCCTGATTGCAGAGCCACCCCCTTTTCATTAAGCCACACTTACTGCCATGGTGAAGATCTGCATATTAATAGGTTAGTCTTGGCAGATGAAAACATAATCAGTATGAATTCACTAAGCAAAACCTTATAAGTAATATAGGACTCCAAAGTTTTCCTAAGTAGAAATATTTCAGGGTATTTTTAGCAAATGAGTCCGTGTGTATTAGATATTATGAATATAGGTAGGCTTTGCTATGCTTAACAGTACTCCATTTTAGCTGTTTGGAATCAACTGTCAAACATATTTCCCCAATATTATTTTGTAATAATATCTTTTTTAGGCATATAAGGTTGCTTTTACTCTGAGTGTAAGAAATAAACTGAGCCTAGCTACTTTTTTTCACATATTACATGCTCACTGCACACAGCTTGACCCCCACTCTGTCCCTGGGCTCTATTTCAGCTCTGCTTTTAAGGTCTCCTCTCCTGGGATCACCCCATCCACTCCAAGATCTTCCCTCTATTATGCAGAGCCACTTAACTCATCCTCCACTCTTGCCAAGTTCTACTTTTCCAAAGTTGCAGTAGGCTTGAGTAAATGGAGTCACCTATTCCAGTCTCTTTTCTGTCCTGTCAACTTAAAAGTGACTTCCATTGACCACCGTCCTTGAAATCATGGCTTTAACTGTTCCCAAGAACTAGCAGAGGACTTACAGGGCTTTCCCCCATTAATAATTATACTGTGAAACTGATGTTATATGCTTTGTATATACTCTTTTGGAGTACACATGACAGTGTCCACATGAGCGGTTATATGTTGCTTTTCCCCGCTAGACCATAAATTCTCTGTGGGAAGAGGCATGTTGGTACACAGTAGGTGTTTAATATACTTTGAATAAACAAAGGTTTGGCAAAATGAGTTGTAACCATTAGGTTTATAAGATATTAATATCTTTTTTGCTTTTCACCTGGTAATTAATCCTAATTAATTCTGTAACTTTTCTACACTTTTCAAGGTTCAAGTCCTTTAAATTTATAATTAAGCTTCAATTTTTTTTTTGTCTCTAATGTAGTTTAAGCTTAAAAAGTATTACTCTGCAATAGTATCACAATTATAATTAACAGGTTATTAGAATGTATATGTTTTGCAAAACAATTCCTATAGAAATAGACACTCACTTAAAACATTAGCAAAATGAAATAATCAAGAATAGATGTTAGTATATAAAGATGACATACTAAATGCGGCCCAAGGTCTCAACTCATAAAATTTTGCTTGGTAGCCAAAGTTTTGTGTTTGATGTTAAGTAGAGACAATAAAAATATATATCAACCATTTCCAGGTTTCTTTCTCCAAGTGATAAGGGGGTTAACCACATGAGAATCAGAAATCCTGGGAAACTCTTGTTTATT